GCCAGTGGGTGGAGAGAGGGGCAGGAGAGGCACCCAGGAGAGAGAGGGCGAGGAGAGCCACCCAGGAGAGAGAGATAGGGCGAGGAGAGCCAGGAGAGAGAGAGGGCGAGGAGAGCAAGCCAGGAAAGAGAGAGGGCGAGGAGAGCCAGCCAGGAGAGAGGGCGAGGAGAGCCAGCCAGGAGAGAGAGAGGGCGAGGAGAGCCAGCCAGGCGAGAGAGGAGGGCGAGGAGAGCCAGCCAGGAGAGAGAGGAGGGCGGGGAGGGCCAGCCAGGAGAGAGAGGAGGGCGAGGAGAGACAGCCAGGAGAGAGAGAGCGAGGAGAGACAACCAGGAGAGAGAGAGCGAGGAGAGACAGCGGAGAGGGAGGAGAGAAAGCCAGGAGAGAGAGAGCGAGGAGAGACAGCCAGGACAGAGAGCGAGGAGATAGTCAGAGAGAGCGAGCAAAACATCTGCCCGATGCAGAACCCCTGTGCCCTTCAAGACTTATCTGCACCCTGTGTTTTAGACACCTTCATGCTCACCGGGTTCCAATGTCCAGTGCCTCCTACATGCACTCAAGTTGGAACACCAGGACCCTGAGTTGCCCCTGTCAGCCTGACATGGCAGCTTGTGTCTGGGTCTCAGCTAGCCTGAAACCCGGACACAGCACCTACAGGACTCAAAACCATTCTGGATAGGTGGCAACCCTTGCTAAGCACCTGGCTGCTGCAAAGGGTAAGAGCCCCCTCAGGAGGGCCGGCTCTAGCTCCCTATCTGCAGGCCAAAAGTAACCGGCTTGGGGGGTCGATACTTTGAGACCACTTATCTATTAATTTATAAAACACCAACAGCCCTATGCCAATATAAATCCTTCTGTGACGTACTTGCCATGTGAAAGACTACAGATCTAAAAACACACATTTAGAGAAGACAAGGACATCTAATTAATACCTGATAAAAAGGCTGAGGCTTTATCTCTTCTGCATCGCCAACTCCAGCCCCCAAGCGGCGCTCTGGTGTTTTCCGCAGCAACTTGAGAAGTAAACAAAGAAGATAAAATATGATTTGGCATTGGATTATTCCCTGTGTTTTCTCCAATATGTGAAGGTTACAGAGGAACTGTTTTCTTTGGTCTCATCGGAGAGCCTGGACATCACAGGGGTGGGCCCATTGACACTTCATAGCTGCAAATAAACAGTGACTGGCAACCAGAAGATCTCCAGCTGTTGCGGAACTGTCCCATCATGCTTTGCAAGTTCCCCATCTGACCTTACACACTCTTTAGAAAGCAAGGCACAATGGGACAACAGGTTCACTTTTTGCTTTTCAATCAATCATTCTTATTGAGTTTTTCTTTTAAATGGTTACAATAATACACAAGTGCAACATGTATCAGATGAGGCCACAACATGGATCAATTAAGGCAATCAAAAGAAACATACGTGTTCATATAAACTGCATTCAACAAGGTATTATGGAAGGAATATGGGTCTGAGGGTTAGGCCCGGGTGGGGTTTCCGTAACATTGGGTTTATAGAGGTCACTAAATGAAGGTAATAAGCGGCAGGGAAGGGGACACAGGATGAGAGATCAAAGGTTATTTATGAGGGATATGCACAGGGGGGTACACGGCTGCTGAAGACTCTTATCTTGCCCTCACTTTACTTCACCGAGTGCCCGAGTGGCCAGTCACCAGCACTAGGGCTGTTATTTGGGAGAATTAGAGCGACTCTTCCATACCCAATTGTACTGGGCCTGACACTTCCAGACCTAAAATAACAACAGGGGAGCAAAGGGTCTGGGTTACAGTGAACCTGCTGTTCTTCCCTGCCAATTGCAGGTTCACCTACCCCGTCCTTGAACTAGTACGAGGTGGAGGAGGTAAAGAGCAGAAGCTTCCAGCAAAGGACCTGTGCTCTCCAACCCTATCCTCCCCCGAGTATTTTTTTGTGCTCATAGCAATCTTCACCAAAACCAGATTATCTAAGCTGTAATGACCTTCCTACGCACTAGGAAAAAAAAAGACAGAAAACATCTTGCATCTCCTGGTCACAGCAGGCTGGTAGATAAACCCTAATTTTCAGCTCCGGATCATAACATACCTTCCGTATAAGCTTGATAGCTTCACTAGAGAGGAAGCGTGGATAACGCACTTCTTCATTCACAATGCTGTCGAACACCTCTTCTTCGTCATCACCGGGGAAGGGACACTGCAAGAAGAGACTGTTAGAGGGGTTTCCTTGGGTCTGTAAGTTCGGGTCAGGGGGATAAAGTCCTGAGAGCGTTGTGTGCGTGTGTAAAACTTTAAAAGGCAATGTACGGTATTTTTAATATATTTAGATAGGGATGCAGCGAAACCGTTACGGTATCCAGTGCGAATACCGATATTTTGCTTTCGGTATTCGCCGATACCGAGTACCGATACCAGTGCTTCCACTGGCATGGAGCCGGCTTCCTGGGCAATCAGGAAGCCCGACAGAGGATAATGACATGCCGCCTGGCTTCCTGATTGCCCTGGAAGCTTGGAAAGCAAGTTTCCCGGCTAATCAGCAGCGAGACAGCTGTTCGGCCGGCTCCATACTGATGGGCCAGGAAGCCGGCTTCCCAGCCAATGAGCAAGGAGCCGGCTGTTCGGCCAGCTTGATGCCGATTGGCCAGGAAGCTGACTTCCGAGCCAATCCGCATGGAGCTGGTTTCATGGCCAATCAGGAAGCCGGGAGGTAGGTCATTACTTGCTGCCCATCTTCCCGATTGGCCGGAAAGCCAGCTCCATGTTCCCCAATGGCACACTGGTTAGAGAAAATCTTCCTCTGACCAGAAGTTTTGGTATTGGACCATTTGGGCGATTACGAGTATTCGCCCAAATACTCGGTATCGGTGCATCCCTATATTTAGATATTCAAGTAAAGGACATCAGCTCAATGTATCATCGTATCAATGTCTTAGAAACTGTTTCCGTAAATAGTTTACACCGTGAGCCATATTTGCCGATTACATATCCATGTTTCTTGCTTCGGAGTACTGCACAGTGGTTGCGCTTCATCATTTGTATCACTCAAGTGCAAATTTATGGGTCAGGACTGACGTGACTGAAAACAGCACAGAAATGGAATCTACGTTAAAGCAGTTGGTTGTCCTCCATGTGTTGATCTGTCAATGCACAGGACCTCCTTAGGAAAAGATCTCACCTCTCCTACCATCATCTCATAGATGAGCACGCCCAGCCCCCACCAGTCCACTGCATAGGTGTAAGTAGTGTCAGTGAGCACTTCCGGTGCCAGGAACTCCGGCGTGCCGCAGAATGTACTAGTTCTGTCCCCGTATCCCATACCTAGAAAACAAAGTAAAGACATGAGCATGCAGCTACAGTTTCTCCAGCTGCTTGTTCACTGGCCAAATCCAATTGTTTGGATCCCGGTGTTATTTCTGGATCATTCAGGGCACAAAAGGACATACACTATATTACCAAAGGTATTGGGACACCCCTCCAAATCATTGGATTCAGGTGTTCTGTGAAACTTCCTTGCTACTGAATATTCCACGGTCACCTGTTAGTGGTATTATAATAAAGTGGAAGCAACTGGGAACAACAGCAACTCAGCCACGAAGTGGTAGGCAACGTGAAATGACAGAGCAGGGTCAGCGCATGCTGAAGTGCACCGTGCGCAGAAGTCGCCAACTGTCTGCAGAGTCAATAGCTACAGACCTCCAAACTTTGTGTGGCCTTCAGATTGGCACAACAACAGTGCGTAGAGAGCTTCATGAAATGGGTTTCCATGGCCAAGCAGCTGCATCCAAGCCTTACATCACCAAGTGCAATGCAAAGCGTCGGATGCCGTGGTCTAAAGCACGCCGCCACTGGACTCTAGAGAAGTGGAGATGTGTTCTCTGGAGTGACGAATCACGCTTCTCTGTGTGGCAATCCGATGGACGTGTCTGGGTTTGGCGGGTGCCAGGAGAACGGTACTTGCCTGACTGCATTGTGCCAAGTGTAAAGTTTGGTGGAGGGGGGATTATGGTGCGGGGGTTGTTTCTCAGGGGTTGGTCTTGGCCCCTCAGTTCCAGTGAAGGGAACTCTTAAGGCATCAGCATACCAAGATATTTTGGACAATTTCAGGCTCCCAACTTTGTGGGAACAGTTTGGGGATGGCCCCTTCCTGTTCCAACATGACTACCAGTGCACAAAGCAAGGTCCATAAAGACATGGATGGGGGAGTTTGGGGTGGAGGAACTTGATTGGCCTCCACAAGAGTCCTGACCTCAACCCGAAAGAACACCTTTGGGATGAATTAGAGCGGAGACTGCGAGCCCGGCCTTCTCATCCAACATCAGTACCTGACCTCACAAATGGTCCAACATTCCCATAGACACGCCCCTAAACCTTGTGGACGCCTTCCCAGAAGAGTTGAAGCTGTTATAGCGGCAAAGGGCGGGCCAACTCAATATTGAACCCTACGGACAAAGACTAGGATGCCATAAAAGTTCATGTGCGTGTAAAGGCCGGCATCCCTTTGGTAATATAGTGTATGTTTCTCCTTGCCTCCTGTTATAAAAAGCTTCCAGTTTACAGTGCTCCACGTAAAATGTGCGCAGACACAGACAAACTAATAAAAGCACTGACTAATGCCTTATGGGATGCAGGTTTTATTGAGCGAAATAAAACAAATATTTCTTATCTATTAAGCACAGCCTGTCTTGTTCTTTAATATTGAGAAATAAGATCTGCCCATAATCAGTCATGTGTATGGACACAACCAATTTGATGCAAGAAGCACTAAAAGAAGCCTCACACACTCACCTTCTTTACAGAGTCCAAAATCTGCAATCTTCACAAACCCATTGGCATCCATCAGAAGGTTGTCCAGCTTCAAGTCTCTGCAAGGATAAAAAGATTGGAGAGGCCACCAACAGAGGGGTCATGCAACACTTATTATAGTACATCCTGGACATATAGCTGTGTTTATTGCAACTGGAGAAGCAAAATATAACGCCAACTAAGACATTTTCTATCGTTCTGAACAGATTAGGGAAGAAACTGAACCTCTGTCAGGCTTTTATTGTTGTCTATGCCAGGGGGGCCTACATCTATACCTGTATGCGAGTATATACTTGGAGCAGCATTTACCAGCGTACAGCTGCAGCCTGTCATTGACTTGTACAGATGGGCTGCAAGCAACATTTATGACTCCTGAGTGCAGAGATCTGGACGGTTTTTATGGTACACGGACCTCTGCGTCCGTGAGAACAAGTCATAAAGTTGAAAATATACAGAAAATAGAATTATAAAATTAAATATGTGAACTTTTCTACCAAATAAAGGTTTTATATTCCAATCCAGTCGTTTTATTCAGGCCTCCTGCCATGCAGCAGGTTCAGGTTCCCGATCTCCACTGCAGCAGCAAAGCTTGATCAAGAACACACCCTCAGCCTGCTGATTGGACAATGCCACAGCAGCAGTGCAATGATTATTCTTCTGTGCCCACTCTCTCCTCCTGTGAGCATGCTTACCAGTTAGCACATGTGCATACAGCAGAGCCTCATTGGCTCATAGTGCTGGTCCTCCCATTGCCACTCAGATTAAAGCTGTGCAGGGGACTACAGGAGGACAATATCAGGATACAATCGGGTACATACATTTAAAAATACATTTAATGATTTAATAATAAAAAAAAAAAAAAATACCTGTAAATAATTTTTTTCTCGTGCAGAAACTGGAGGCCAAGAACCACGCAGGCGGAATAAAACCTGCCAGAAAAACGACAGGTGTGTCAAGCGTAAAATGTCATGTGACAAGTCATCCTGACCTCCGCACCCCATCTCTGTCACGCACCTCGTAGCTGGCTGAGAGAAGACGTTGGCGTGTATGTGCATCATCAGGTCCCCACCTGGCATGTATTCCATGACAAAGCAGGTGTGTTCCGGGGTCTGGAAGCAGGCAAACAAGTTCACCAGGAAGGGGTGTCCAGAAGTATTTACCACCTCGAAGATGCGCTTCTCACACTGCAGACTGCAATAGAAGGAAATGTAATTGGTAACAAAATGCAGGATTGTAGCATTAAGGAGGACAAAAGACTGAAACCTTCCATCCAACTTCTGGAGGACTTTGAGCATTTTCACTCTCCAAGTCATGCTGGAAAAATGAAAACTTGAATCTGATTGGTTGGTATGGACAAAATGTTTGTAATGCGATCCTGGTGTATATTGGCGGTCAAACTCTGTTCCCATTGCCACCTTTTTTTCCAATCATCTATCTTCCACAGTTCTGAACTCCTCCTGCCCAGGAACCAAAATGTATCTTCTAAAGCAGCATTTCCTGTGCGGGTAGGTGCTTCTGCTCTCTCAGGGATCTCTTCTTCCATCCTCAACTTTAAACTTCTCTGTCTTTCCTTGTGGAGAGTCTCCTAGCCTTCCTGCAGCCTTTGCCCTGTTTGACTTGGAGCTGAGGCCCCCTCCCACTTATGCATGAATTACTGCATGTGCGTTTAGTGGCTTGACACACTAAGACTAGTGTGTCAAGCAGGGGGGCACAAAACAAGGGGGGCACAAAACAAACCCTTGATTTGTCTTGCATGGAAATGCTGCTATAAATAAAATTCAGCCAATATCAAGAACAAATGCAGGCAGTGAAGCTGAGCCATGCCCCCATTACCGGCCCATCACTGCAAATGGCAATCACTACCAATCCTGAGACCTAAAGGCAGCAGGCTGAAAGACTTTACCAGTAGAAGTCAGTATTTGCATATCAGAGTGCCTGGGCATTTTATTTACTGCAGCAACTGAGTACCTATGATAAGAGAAAGTTGTGCTTTAATCAGAGCCACATATGCCAGAACAGCTTAACATATCTTCCCCTCTTGCTCATGGTGGAATGGAATTTGCACCTTTCAAACTCGTCTCTGCTCACAATATCCCGCTTTTTCAGTGCTTTGATCGCATACAGCTTTTCCGTTTCCTTATATTCAGCCAGAAGGACCTAAAAGGACAAAAATTATAAATTTAAAGCCTTTTCCTGACATGTCTGGAGTAAATGGAGAGCTATGTAAACGAGTATGAAAACCTGTGGGAAGTACATGTGCAGCAAAACTAGAACATAATAATACTTGCTTTGCATGACCTGTTTACATAAACCTACCTTCCCAAAATGCCCTCTTCCTAGTACAGAGATACAGGCGAAGTCAGCTAGAGTAAGGACATTCTTTCTGTCAAATTAAACACATTAGATATTACTGGTATCCTTAATGGCAAAATACACACACACACGGAGGAGAGAGAGAGAGGAGCGGGAGAGAGAGAGAGAGAGAGGAGCGGGAGAGAGAGAGAGAGAGATGGATGGAGGTTGTCAATGCAGACCTCTTTCTGTAGGAATGAGTGGAAAGTGAAGCCAGGACTCTGATCTGCATGGGGCTCATGGGCTGGAGCTGCTGAGTCAGCTTAACAGCCTGGGAACCAGCATTTTAAAAAGGGGAGAATAGGAATGGCAGCCTCCATATTTCTACAGTGAAGGTTTCCTTTGCTGCGAGTCCAGAATATGTCGTATTATTGCGGAGATGTGTGAGCAGTCTTTCAGGCCATATCTCCTAAGGATGGTCAACTAGAAGCAATATTCTTGATTTTCTCCCCATCACATATGCACTAAGCTTACCTGTGAAGTTTCTGGGGCTCCGATGTGCTCTGTGTGCTACTCTCCTCTGAGTGAATGCGCTTCACAGACTGGAACAGAACAAGGACATTATAAGGACCGGTTTTGACCCATCGATGGATAGAAATGCATACATAGTTGACCTTATAAGAACCACTCAGGGTCCAGCTGTCATTTCTCTAGCTCAGACACGTCAGACTGGTGTTTTTGGGCCACATGTGCTCCTGATCAGTATTTAAAGAATTTAAATTGAACAAAGACCCCAGCAGTCCCCCGCTTGATAGAAGCTACACTTCCTTATATCACTTTGCAAATCAGTGCTTCAGGAAATGTTTGGGATCCCCTTGGCTGGTGTCCTACTGACAATTTTTGTTTTTCTAATAGATTCTATAGTGAAAGTTTTTTGGGGTTTTTTTACATGTTTTTTTCTGCAAGACTGACAAAACATCCATTTATCAGATGTAGTACTACAAGGTGTATAAAATATGTGGTAGGAGGTAACATTATAAAACATGTAAAATTGTCCGAGATTGGTGCACAATGGTTCAGACTCATACACAGTATATACACAAGAATCTGATTAGAGTGTGACAACATACTGGATGAACCATGCTCTCGAAGTATGGATATATTTTAAGTAGGGATGCACCGATATATCGGCCGAAAATGGCACTTTTGGCTAAATGCCGAAAGTGCCATTTTCCTGCCGATACATCGGCGCATTCCTGCTTTCTTTCCTGGGCGCTGCTCTGTGTCCCAGCAGGGAGGAGAGAAAGTGTGACAGCCGGCTGAGCGCTGCGGGAGGAGAGCGCTGTGAGTTGCTGGCGTCTCTCCTTCCACACCACTCAGCCTCCTATCACAGTCCAGCAGAGCGGTGTGTGGGCGGAGACAGCCAGCGCTGTCACAGGAGGCTGAGCTCTCCTCCCTGCACCGCTCGCTCAGCCTCCTGTGACAGCTGTCAGAGAGGAGAGCGGTACACTCAGTGATCGCCGAGTGTTTGTAGATAATTGAGGACAGAGTATGGTTATTATATCCTCAATTATGAATGAATGGGAAGTGATCTACATCACTTCCTGTTCATTCATGATTGTGGTTATAGTAAACACACTATGTTCTCATGTTATGAATGAACAGGAACACTCAGTATAGAGGATTCCTGTTCATTGATAACAGGGGATCCAGAAAAATATTTGGACTCTGTGTTCTCAATCTCTTTTTCTATTGTAAAAGGAAATATCAGGGGTCTGTTTAGACCCCTGATATGTCCCCAAAGCCCCTAAAAGTAAAATAATAAATTTAACAAAAAAATGAATAAAAATATTTTAAAAATTAGAAAGTTTATAAAAAAATAAAAATTAAATATTTAAAAAAATAAAAAACATTTTCGGTTTCCGCCTGACACATTTTTATAAATTTGTTTTGAAATTTCCATTTCGTTGCACCTCTAATGTTAAGTTAAGGGAAAGTATTTTTTCACTGGCGATTTTTAGTGACGTGATCCCCCTACTAAAATAACTAGCAATTATTCACAAGAAGTAAATGACCGATCACTACACAGCTGGAACAATGAGCTCCCTATAAGGCCAGATCAATAATATGTAGGAGCATTTTGAAGTCATTAAGGATTAATCCCTACTACACACCAATTGTGTACTCACTCCATCGGAAGCCATTTGTTCCACATGTATAACGATTGAATGTTAAAACTAGTGATGAATCACCAGCCATTCTAGTGGCATGATTGCGCTAATAAAAACTGCCCCTGTGCTGCTAGCCTTTCTCTGGAATTACAAGTTGCATCTGCATAATGTTAAAGTGACATTAAACCCTCAGATTTTTTAACATAAAACAATACTGTAATCCATGGTAGTTTTCCTTCTCTTCCTTTTAAATCCTTCTCTCTTCTCATGCTGGGGGAGAACTTCCCTTCGCAGCTGAGTGCCTCTTCCTGTAGTGCTGGCTCAGGTTGTGAACCTACACACAGACACCATGTAGCCATTCCAGAGACAAGGCAGTCTGCTGCAAAACAGAAGTTCTACCCAGCATGAGAACAGATACAGATTTAAAAAGGAAGAGCAGCAAAGAGAAGGGAAACAACCATGGATTACAGTAAGGCACACATTACACTATTGTTTTATGTTAAAAAATATGAGGGTTTAATGTCACTTTAAGCAATGGAATCCTATCATTTTTTTTCTAGAATTAAAACTGAATTACAAGAAAAATACCCCTGCAGTACAGGGGTGCGTATTAAGTCTACCGGTAGAGGAATGAGCAGCCATACTTGCCTTATTCCTTGCTCTGGCAGGCTCCTGTGCTCTCCTCTTTAAAGTGCCATGTTGTGGATGGGCCCTGTCCGGCCTCAGGTATAATGCAGGACTATTGGTGGGCGGTACTGTAATGGTATTTCTTTACTAATTCCCCAGAGTTCAGCTCTGTAGGCAGGTGTGGCCCTCGAGCATAATGGGGGCCCTTAAGAGACTCTGTCACCAACTTACAAAATTTCAGGTAAAAGCACAGAAAAAGCAAGTATTTTAAATACAATGGTACCTCGGTTCACAAACTTAATTCGTTCCACGATTCTGGTCGCGCACCGAATTGGTCGCGAACTGCAAACTGTGATCAGGCCGCGATCTCGAATAGAGGAAGCCACGACCATGTGTCAGAGCAGGGAAGATGGCTGCGGTTGCGTTCGTCACCCGATGCGGAGTTCACGAATGGAAGCAAAATTTTGCCCAACTTCCTGTTCGCGAACCGAATTGTTCACGCACAGAAGCGTTCGTGAACCGAGGTACCACTGTACTTACCTGCAGTTTTTTTAACATTAACATATGCATGTGCCTTTGAACGTGCTAGAAAATTTGAATACAGCAGGGGAGTCAGTTACCGAGCACATCCCCTCTCTCCTTGCATATCATAGCTGTCTGCTGTCCTGGGAGTGTCTAACTACTGTCTGTGCTGGTCCAGTTCCTCTACTGGAAGGGAAATGCTATTGTCACTTAAGTAAAAGCCTGGAGTCTGCTGGGGCTTCTGACATCATATCCTATATGGCCGCACAAGGAAAGATGCCTACACAAGGGAGGTTTTTACAAGTAAATAGCAAAACTAAGCCTCACACCCAGAACACGCATGTGGCATGTGATGTCAGAATTTCTTATGTGCATACATGGTCCAGGTCATGGACATAAAAGTACTAGAGACAGACATTTGCAAAAAACAAAACAAATGGCAGCCTACATTTCTCTCTCACCACAGTGGTCCTTTAATAATGATGGAGTCCGTGACATTGCTTACCTTTGCAGGCACTCTGGGTGGGGTGTCCATAGGTGCCCCTACCTTTTCTGACTCCAGTGGTAAGTAGATTCGTGGAGGTTTGGGTGGAGGCTTCAATAAAGATTCATCAGTGAACACTAACTTTTTTGCAGGAATATTACTAAAAGGGAACAAACAAACAGTTATTTCTTAAGACCAAAAGAGAAAAAATAAATCCTTCCACTATAGTCTAGTGCACCTTACTAGTCCCTCTATCCTAATCTGCCTCAGCACCAAATTAGCATATGTCGAGAGTGTAGTGGAGAGATATCTCCACCCAAGTCTGCAGCCATTAGAAAGCCAGCTGATTTTGTCAGGCTCCACATGAAGGGCTGGAAAAAAACATGTAGAGGGAATTATAGCAATTTTGTATATATGTTCCTCCTTTATTGGTATAAAGCCTGAAGAAGGGACCTAAGAAGTTCCAAAAGCTTGCATCTTTAATAACTTAGCCAACAAAGGCTGATACTTAAACCCCAAACTTTCATCATTATGATTACAAAGACTAAATATTTTGTATTTTCATATGCAGCCAGCTCCAAGTTCCTTTTTATGTATTTTCCAGTTCCCCCTTTGTTGTAAAAAGCTTTCATACAAAGCTTAATAGCTCAAGCTGAAATTTACACAAAGTGCTCTATCTATCCTGCATTATGGGTGCAACCAGCATTAAAGCGACATTGAACCTTCATTTTTTTTTAATTATCTTTTTTCTTTTAATTTCCTCATTTTCAAGTGGTATTCAGACTGCAAGCCCACCCCCCATCCTCCCTGTACAGGCACCTCCATCAGCTAGCTGACTGCTGTGAAGGCACCTGTACATGCAGGGTCACGGCTGTGCCCGCACCTAGCTGTGTGCATCCATAGACACACACACAGCGTGCGGCCGGCCACGCCCCCACCCTGCAGTCACAACTTGAATGACAGCAGAAGGAGCCTATGGCTCTCCTGCCCTCTCCAGCAACCAGGAAGTTTGGGGAAACCCGTGTACCTGCCTGGTTGCGGCGGACGAGACAAGCGGCTGCAGGTAGGTGTGTCAGACCTCCTGACCGATCTGTGAGAGTGCAGTGGTCTGGCAAATCTCTCGAGCCAGATTAAACACTAACACAAAACATAACAAAATAATAATGCCATTCTTTATTTGTTATGCCGCCTGACTGCATAACAAGTATAAGAGGAAAGCTAGGCTTTAAAGTAAATCTATTATTAATCTTAATCTAAGCACCCAATAAAAATGACAAAGCTGCTGAAAACTACACACCGAAAGGACCAGTAGATCCAGCTATATAGGCAGATGAAGTTATATTTGTATCTTGACACTTTTTGTCCCATCAAACACGGCCACACCTCCCGAGTCTCCCTATAGGATATTGAGGTTACCATCACATTAAAAAGACAAGTAGGGGCTTTCAGTGACGGAAGGCATGGTGCCCAAGCTCAACCTTTACTGGGACGTGGGATTTCTCCAACGTAGAGCTATAGGAAAAAGAAAACACCTACAGGTGAATGCACAGTGGAAACCTACCTGTAGTTTGCAGAATTTGCCAGAGTATCTGCGGCAGCAGGGGCAGGAAGGGGCGGGCTCAGTGTTGTTATGGTGCCACATGGAGGTAGAATACTCATCATGAGGCGGCCCCATGTAGCAAAGTTGATGTTCATTTGGGTGGCACGAAGGAAATCCTTCCCTGGGAAAGCAAAAACAGTCATTGCAACTGCTGCACGTTCTTCCTGCAGGCTTCCCTGTCAGTCTCGGAATGACATAGGACAGGAATTAGGAATGAACCGATACCGGTTTTTCGGTATCTAGTATGGGTACCGATATTTATATTACGGTACTCGCCGATACCGAGTAGCGATACTTTTGCTAGCATGGAGCCGGCTTCCCGGGCAATCAAGAAGCCGGACAGAGGGTAATGACACGCCGCCCAGCTTCTTGATTGCACGGGGAAACAGAGTCCATGCTTTTTGGCCGACTTGAAGCTGATGGGTCGGGAAGTATTGAGCCGGCCAAACAGCATGGAGACGGGAAGCCGGGAGGCGGCCAATTGTCGGGCAAGCAGTTCCATGTTCCCTCGCGGCACTGCCGGTCAGAGGAAATCTCCCTCTGATCGGAAGTTCCGGTATCGGAGCATTTGGGTGAGTACGAGTACTCACCCAAATACTCAGTATTGACACCAATACCAGTATCAATGCAACCCCAACAGGAATAATAAAACAATGTAGGGGGCCCAACACAAATCACAAAATATTTTGCAGAAACAATTTTTTGTATCTTAAAGACAACCTATCGAAAAAGTTCAATCCTTTAAGCAGAATTGAGGATCTACTTTTGCAAGGCATAAAAAAGAAAAAAAGTTGGGTCCCCAAGTCATGTGTGTATGTATGTATATTATAATATATATAATATCTGCACAGGTGTATCTGACTCTCAGTGATTGTCATGGGCCAGCAATCTCGGCACTTAGGTTTTTTTCACAGTTCAGTCACCTGACTATCTCACTATATGTTGCTTTTTATCCCACGCTTCTGTGTGCAGTAGAAACTGAGTTACTGTCAGGGAAGTCCAGCTGGTGTTCCTAGTACAGCTGTTGCACAGACCGCTGCACAACAATATGCACGCTGGAGATGTTTTGGTGCTAAAAACGGAGATGCGTCCCAGTGTGTCGACCATGGTGCGCACGCCTGTTCCAGTCAGTGGCCCCAGGCAGCTATTTAAGGAGGATTGCTACAGCTGCATGCTGCTGGAAGACCATCAAATTGTATCCTGCGATCCGTTGTTGCTGTTATTCTGGTCACGACCCGGCTTGACTCACGACTCTGCCTGCCATCGGACCCTGCTTGCCTCGACTACTCCTCTGCATCCTGATTCGGTATCGCTTGCCCGCAAGGTTCTGACCTGGTTCCCCCTAGGACTCTGCTTCTGCACCTTGCTGCTCGCCAGTCGCCAACCCGGCTCTTCCGACTCCGTTTCTATCTCCTGCTTAGATACCATTTGGTCAGCTGCTGGCGGTCTGGTTCCACGATCACCCTGCTTCCAGCTCTGTCTGGAGGTCCGAACCAGCTATAGGCACTTGTGCCTCTATCAGTCCGTGCCTACTCCGTACCATCTCCTCCCTCACCACTTCAGGCCTCACCAGGAACGCGACAGTTAGGGACATTGACAGTTCACTCCTTTTCAGTACCGACAATGCTCTGCAAAGGAGACAGACTCAAAATGCAGAGGGCACAGGCGCTGTGTCACAGGAATGAGCACAAGCACTAGAACTAGAAGGAGCCTAGTTTTGTGTTGTAAAAATGCAGAGACAGAGATAAAACCTGTCAATCAAGAGGCAGTCTCCTTTGCAGAGCATGGTCGGGAATGAAGTGCAATGAGCTGTCAATGTCTGTAACTCGGTTTCTACTGCACACAGAAGCATGGGATCAAGAAATAACACACTGTATACTGTGGAGGTTACATGACTGAGCTGTGGAAAATAATATAAGGGGCAATGTTTTCTTTAAGAGCTTTTTGGTGCTATTGCATTTGCACTAGTTTTGGACCAGCATGCAGAATGTGATAGCGATAGTTGTACACGCATACTAGGTCCAATTTAGACAGAAGTCAATTCACCTACCAACATGTCTTTGGAGTGTAGGAGGAAACTGGAGTACCCAGAGAAAACCCATATTTTTTCTCTGGGAACATGCAAACTCCATGCAAATTGTGTCCTGGCTGAAATGCAAACCGAGGAACCCAATGCTGCAAGGCATAAGTGCTAACCACTAAGCCACGGTGCTGCCCACTTAAGTCAATTAAAATGAATTGAAACAATGCTAAGACAACAACAACAAAAACAGCAGAAAAGACATAGCACACTTGCCTTTCTGTTTGGGAAATATACGCTTCTGTCTCTGTACTTTGCCTCTCCTCTCAATCACAGGATTACAGAACATAATCTGAAATAAAACCAATAATCATTAACATGCAAACGTTTTTCTTGTAAATCTATGGTGAATCAAATATAGAGGCCGATATTGCCCACCTCCCCTGAAAATACTATTTCTCATACTTCAATACTTCCTGAGTTACTGGCTTGAAACAAGGAGACAGGCCAAGAGTTCTGCCTTCATTTGCTGCATGCTTATTCATCAGAAATCACTTCAGTAATTAGATCAGTACGGCAGCAAAGTAAACAGCTTTTACGGAAGGAGGTTGACAATGTGAGCCTACATACTTCCCTATGCAGAGGTTTCTTTTAAACAGCAAAGACAAGCCATGCATGGACTGATCCAACCTTACAGTTAGTATGACCCCCCC